GTTTCATATTTCTTTCAGTGCATTTTAATAAAACAAGCAAAAAACATTGGAGAGAGAGTCAATATATACACACGAGTGCACAATTTTTTGAAATGCAAACATTCTGTCATACCCATTTTGCTGTTTACTTTATGAAGGGTAATTTTGATTAGCGCCATCACTGATAAACTGTTCACAGGCAAATCTTGGTTGTCCAGGCAATCACTGATCAATGCATATACAAACTGCGATGTCCGGATTATTATGTATCAGTTCATACATACGTGTGTAGTGTCTAAGTGTTCATTGATCAGTAATATATACGTCTGTGATGTCCAGGTATTTTTTGATCAGTGAATACACGTGTCTCTGGTCTCTAGATAATAATATCTAAGTAATCAATGGTCAATTTGTGTAAACGTTGATTTATTGATGATTTTATAAACCCGTGTGCGGAATCTGGTCAAGTTAGTGACGTGTATGGTATCACGGTAATTCCTGGTCAGTATATATATATTTACATATGTGGGGCCTTGGTCAGTTTTAACCACGCCGCGGAGTCTATAAAATCCTGTTCAATTCATGTACACGTCGGTTTATGTAAACCTTAGAGATAGCTAGGTAATCATTATATACATGGGTGTGGAGTCTATGAAATCCTGCTCAATTCATGTAAACGTCGGTGGTGTCCAGATACTCCTTGATCATATTGTAGCAGAACTGGTATTGGTCCTACAATGACAGTTTACAAGATATAAAATCATGAAAATAAAATATTATGTCTCCTTAATTGGTAACATCGTATTCATGCATTTAAGCATGTACCTTTTTTTTTTGGTTTTCTAGATTTCAATAGGAACTCTCAACTTGTAAGCCGTATACAGCAGATGGATGGACGACGTGCTTACGCACGCACGCATGCACATATGAAACATGAGGTGCAACCTTAACATCGAACAAAAGTCTGACTTTCAATTGACATAATGTGCATATAGATTTTACTATACACTTCGATTTTGTCCATAATTAATCAAAATATATCGATGAAGTATACTTACAAAATTGACTATAAATTCCGGGCGTCGCACTTGCAGCTGTCGAGTTATCTGAAAAATGTCTACTTCGTCATCGCCTTTCATTTGATCTCTAGCATTGCTGATACAACAGAACAAACCGCTCTGTGAAAAGCCGTCACTGAAACATCAAATATATTCACATTAACACGAAATGGAATCAAAGCAACTAATAAAAAAGGTAAAGTTTATCCTTTATCCAATATCAACTCAGTTTATATTCTATTGTTATAAAAATATGTAAAAAGACCGGTCGGTGTGACTTTTACTTAGAGTTGCTTACTGTCTCTGTTACTCCACTGACGAAGCATGCTTCTTTGGCATAAAGACGTGGGTGTGATTCGTGTCGGGGCGCTTGGCAGAAATGGATGTTTCCTTGTTCTTTCCTTGTTCTTTCACAAATATATACTTTCACACTTAATAACAGCAAATATGATTTATTTTCAGATAAACTGTCAGATTGCCATGATGACAAATGGTCCTCTGATATTACTATTTCAGAAATGGGTATACAATATCGGAAGCTAACGTACCGACACATGACAGCTGTCGTCTTCGTGTTGTCCGATTTACGTCTACTGTCCACAAGTTCAAGTAGCTGAAGTAGGGCTGACGAATCTTGAGGGACTGAGGACTCTTGTTCCCAACCAGTTAGATGAAACACTCGGACTTTGACATGGAATCCTTTCATCTAAAAACAATACCGACGAGTTTAACCCTTGAACGAGAACTGATATCAGCTTCTACTTCTACATGATTCCACCTAGTACACGCTTACAAAAATTAACGACAATATCCCGATAGGAATGAATTTAAATAGAAAGCATAAATCAAACAGTAATTAATATCATATTATTTCCTGTATTTATATTTTCAATAAACTTTACCTCATTTTCAATTGAAATTTCAATCAAATCAACATCAGTAACTGTTGAAGAATTCCCTTTGTGTTCCAGCGTAAATTCCCCAATGGATTTGTCCTTACCCTGTTCAGGAAGCCAGACCTATAAAATCATATTCTATTGAAATACGGTTTCATTATGAATGAATATAGCAAAGCAATAATCATTGGCGGGCGATGAATTAAGCAAAAGTAAAAAACATATGATAATGGTAGGAATATGTAGGAAACACATACATACTAGAAAAGAAAAGGACACCCAAAATATTTCTACATCAATTCATATGTAACCGGATTTAAAACTGTGTTAAAAGTAACTATCTAACGAATAACATTTGTGTTGTATAACTGACGACTTGTTGTCTAACAGACATTGCTGTTTTGTCGTATGTCACTGATAAAAAAATTGAACACGTCAATCTATGTGTTGTATTGACTCAACGTAGAATTTCATGCGATGTGATCATTACTTGTTTGAACATTAATTTCTTTAATTGAAAAAAATCCCCATTATTTTCACAAAATGTATCAGGAACATGGTAGTAATATGTTTACTCAAGTAATCAATTTGTAACGCCTCATAAATATACTTACAATTGTGTCAGTATCTATGATGACAATAGTTGTACAGTCATGGTCCATTATCATTGTCAACACATCCACCACGGTGTCTTCCGTAGGAGTCTGAGTGACGATATACCCAGTCTGTGACGTGTAGGACTAGATAAGTGGAACATATAATTATACATCACTGTTTACATTAAAATTTGAATATCGATATTTTTGCAAAACTGTTCATAAAAATCTGCCGAATTATGCTTAAAACTCACGGTTCATAAATTATTTTTGATATTTAAAGTTCATTTTTGCGGCTAAATGGAAAAAAATCCATTTGGGTATATGTACACATTTTTGCAGCTAAATGGAAAAAATCCATTTGGGTATATGTACACCAACTTGAAGTAAGTAATTTCAAATTTACATTACAGTTATTAATGGAATGACACCCAATCTTTGCCGATAGAATAACAGATATGCTGTCAACTAGATACAGACAGACAGACAGACAGACAGACAGACAGACAGATAAAACGTGAAATGTACTTACTGGCACCACTACAGCATTGATATAATCCGTCCTGCCGTTTGCTTGTGATCGTAGGTACGCCCTAAATTTGTCCGCTAGACAGAGGAATAAAGTACTTCACGCACATTGCTTTTCTTGCTACATAAAGCAACTTAAAATACATTTTGTAATACGAATCTAGGGCTTTTGACCAAGCTCGCTGGGGTAGGTATCATGTTAATGAAGCCATGTTTGCTACATAAATTAAACATTGATTTGTTGTGTCTAACGAAGGATGAAATATGGATATAGGTATCTTACGTAACATCCAGGACATACATAATATGAAGGATGATATTTGCTAAATTATGGTAATTTACCATCTCGGGCAGATTCGTACAGGTAATATTCATGATAATAAGCCAATGACCTATCCAGCAGAACAGATACATGTACGGTGCCATTCTTGGAAATCGGAAATGTTAGTAACGTACCTGCTAGGACAGTTGAGATTTTGTTCTTCATCTTGTTGTTCGGTAGTAAAGCAGCTTTGCATTCAGTTTCCCCATAGTGTGGTTTCAAGGGTTGTATTTGCTTAATGAAAAACATATTTGAGATATCAAAATTCCTTATACATACTACAATGTTCAGACAAGGAACAGAAACAATGTGTAACGTAGAATATCAATTTATATCTTGGTACTTTTTGTGAAAAGGGAGCATTGCGATATTCAAAGATTCACAAAATATGAAATACTTGATATTTGTCATCAAAGTACTTTATGCATTACGACCGGTTTAATGTGGAAACATCAACAATACACCGAACATTTAAGACACCATGACATTTTCAAAAGTATGAATATTGCAGATATATCTTCTTAATTATATAAATCCAACATGCAATACGTTTGTATTAGAAAATATGCTAAAAACAAAATTACCTCCTATATCAATATAATTAAGATGGCTTTTTTATTCATATGAAGCGAGAATAAAAAAAACCCTTATGGGTGTAACATAGAAAAGAATGATCATCTTAGCAGAAAATATTTTAAATAAACAAATGTCATCTTGAACCATCCGTACAAAAATTACGTCAGCACCTGATACTCCTTTCTGAGCTTTGTTTGGTTGGTTGGGCCGCCATTGGAGAGAGTGTTAAGAGTTGTGTTGTACGTCATTCTGGGAATAAGCGTGTCCGGCAAGTCGAAGGCTTCAGCAAGGAGCTGGTGTATAGCTATGTATTGCTCCTGCACAAGTAAGGTTTATTTACGTTCTTTTTAACATCAATACTTTAAAACATTTATAAACGATCAATCAGTCTGAAAATATGTTAATGTATATTTTTATATACATATTAAACTCAAGATTTATGGGAAAAAACAACAACAACGAAATACAGAAAAAATATTAGAGTAACTTATGGAGATTCCTGGAAAAGAGCAAGGCGGGTAAGACCATGTGTTCTGGAAAAGTAAGTGTCTTCTACTTCATCGAGGACTATCGCCTTGTAAATATTGGTCAATACATGTAAGTTATGTCACATTCTCAAATGAGCACGGGAAGCAGGAAACAAAAAATGTTTTTCCAGTTCATATAACTTAACTTACGTTTGTTTGAACCATGTTCATTCTATCCTTTCGCATAGTTTTGATGTATTGTAAAACGTCAACTTGTTCGAACTCCTTTCCGTAGTCCAGCAGAGCATCGAGGGCTATGAATGTTCCGGTTCTACCAATACCAGCACTGCAAAAAGTTCATTAATGTCTATCGATTTACGCTGGTTAGTATTTGAATAATTAATAAACAGTGTCGAAACACGTATAGAAAGGGTCATTTATGTATTACATTGTCGATGCAAAATGATGAACTGTGCTTTGTAAATCAAACAACTTCAACATAGATATATTCATCAGTCGTATAATTACAGTTGAAAACAAAAGATAATCATGATGAACTCCCTACCACGACGGGAGTGATGGGTTGGTTTGGTGATGACAGTGTTTGGTGATAGATAATAATTAAGGCGTGCGGTTTCGATGGAAATGGATACCTAACATACCTGCAATGAATAACCATCTTTCCTGGGAGGGCGCTTGGATAGTGCTTCACGCGACGGTGGAAGACGACGAGTTCGTTTGAGTCTGGAGTCCCGTGGTCAGGCCATGTGGTGTAATGGAACTGGTGTATTTGTCGCTCAGATTTTGTCTGAATAGGATAATGGGATAAGTAATATGGAAGTAAGAATTAAAGTAAAACATGAAATGAGAGAGAGAGAGAGAGAGAGAGAGAGAGAGAGAGAGAGAGAGAGAGAGAGAGAGAGAGAGAGCAGTATAACATGTACCTTCTTTTCTGTGACTGTAAGATCCCGAAGGACATAAAAAGCATAAGTTCGTTCCCTGTCTAGGATGATGTTGAAATGTGGAGTTGCTAATGGCTCTCCTTCATCTGGCCAGTATTTATCGCACTTTGGCTACAATGACGAATTTCAGAACCTGATTACAGTGCAACTGAAGTGGGCTGTTCAAATTCGCCATCCGTTAAAAACAAAAATCGCATTATATTACTAAACAATTTAATTGTTTATTTATGTAAAAATAAAGTATATATGTGACATACCCTTCCTTCTTCCACCACATTTGTTAGCATAACAATTTTGTCCGACTTCAGTTGCCAAATCATACGCCAGAAGTCATTGACGGTCCCAGTCCTTGGACCTAAATAATATCAATATGGATGAATTTGCTTAAGTATGGTGAGTGTCCAACCGATTTTCTTATGAAACCAAGACGATTAAAGTATTGGTCTGACAATTTTACCCTATAAGCTGTATATTTACTTTATCATTTATTTACTATTTATTTATTACTAAGAAAGAAAAATACTTCAAGCTTCAAGAAAATTTGTTTTGGTGAGTGTAAGAACTTCATACAAAAATATCCCATTTCCCTAAAACCCACATATATCATTCAAACACAAACCGAAGTCTTAATAATGATAGTTGCTGATATACTTTATTCCAGACACTATTATGATTTAATGAAAAGTGTTATGTTGCTGGCCTACCATCACTGAAATTCCATAGCTCTACTAAAGGTTAAGTCATCACCATTTTAAAAATAATCTCTAATATTTTACCAAGTCTGTTCTAATTCAAATTACATTGTAATGGTGGACATCAACTTATAGTGGTTTGGCGTGACCCTAAGTAAAATGTTCATATTCTTATATGCGGAAGCGTTCATTCTACACATATATTTTTTATTTTCTCATTTAAAAACATACCATCACCTTTTCTTCTATATTTGAAGAGGTTTTTTTATTTTATATAAATATGTGCTTAAGATCGGTAAAATATCCATTAAGGACAAAACAGCTGTATAATTTCGTTCCTGTCAAGGACAGACGGCATATATACCTTATTTGTGTTGAAGGTGGAAGTCACCAGTGTGGGTCTTTAGTAAATTATTGATCGTATCATGATATATCGTCTCGTAATCAACTTACCTCGAATTAAGCAATAGTTATATAGCATGATTAAAGCCGAAAGCACGTATGCACTAATGTGGTATATTTCTAATTGTATAAAAACCAAATTTTACCTTGTGTTGCGATGTATGCTGCCGTTTTTGTAACACTCTGTAAAATATATATGGATATGAATTATCATCTGGTTTAATGTCATATTTATCACATCCATGGTTGCTAAGGTATTCCTCAATTGAGAAAATCGAAAAACATTCCAGGTCATAAACTTTGAAATGTAAGAATTATATCTTTATATAATATGGATTTTGATACAGAGCTCTTTACTGTTGGCTCTACTTACATCGATGTAGTTAGCATTGATGTAGTCCGAGTGCGGATCATTCCGAACTTTGTCAAGAATAACACGAGAGTGATCATCTGTAAAATAAGATTAAAATGTTCCATGAAACCACATCCTAACATCATTGAAAACATTGTAAAACAGAATCAACATATTCTTTAATACGTCGCATACGTCTAAACACAAGCAATATTTTCGGAGTACCTTTTCCATTGATATAATCATAACGATTCAAGAATTAGTACAAACATCCGAATTAAGACATTCAGATATTCCTCATAATTTCAAGAATAGAATCCCGATTGAAATAATATCTCTGTATTTATTTTACTAATGCCAAATCATAAAAGAAATCAAAGCTTATTTTAATACAATCAAAATGTTTTTCCATTGAATTTTTCGATTGATATTGTAATTTTGCATATTAATGATATCTTGTAGATAGCTCCACATTTGAAACATATTGCATTGTTATTTTTTCGAACACCCAAGTACCTAAGTAATAACCGCAAACACCTACAATGTCATAATCGGTCACCTGTAGTACTTAAATAATAACCACATAAAGTACAATGTAATCGGTGTAATCACCGTATCTGTGACAATAATAGAAAACTAATTTATCAACAGAAGGACAAAGGCTATACTTACAGGGAAACGTGGTCTTAAATCGATTTTTGGTTTTGTTTTGTGGAAGCATTCCAATCTTATGTTCATGTAAAGCTCCATATGGTATTGACTATATCAAAAATAAAATTATGAATAGATGTGCAGTATGTGCTTTTAAAACGAAAAGCAGCATTAATCGGAAAACATCTTTCCAAGAACAAGTTCCATTTCATTGAAAGTTATCGATTACGTTATCGTATTAAACTTTAAAGTTGTCATATAAATTTCAAGATGATTCATTCATTCACATAAAAAATATACTGCACCTTGAACTCATTCTCGAACGCCTTAGCCTTATTTTGCATCTTTGTGTGTACTAAAGATTTGAGCGTGGAAACGGGAAATCCAACAGGGCCGGAATTATAGTAAACGCTATCGCCAGAGCGAGAGGCACTGGCTACCTGCTCCGCATTCACATACACGTTTCCGGTACCTTTGGTTGGATAATCTGGATCTTCATTGAAATCTGTTGCAGGCAAATTGAACATTCAGATAATTTTGAAGCAAAGTGCTATTTCAACTTTATACTTCGAGAGATCATCGTATGACAAATACACGATAAAATGTATTAAATGAATGATCACCTAGGAGGACGTTGCTGTACACATTATGCTCGGGGGGCACCACAGGTTCGCTACGAGAATTTTCTGTTTCTAACGGTTTGCTCTGGCCTTTCCTGTGAAGCTTGTTGGAACGTCCGATATCATCAAAGGTGTCTTGTTTACCAGCATTCTGTCGACGTCTATGGAAAAAATATTGTATGATCAAGGAGCCTATCGATCTTTATAAATGAAGAGCATAAACGAAACGCATGCTAAGGACAAATAGTCTATACTTGAATTTTAATCTATGTGAAATTGTATAGATAACTCTACAATGAAAAAAAAAAAAAAAAAAGGCGTAAGATATGCCAGAAAAGTGTCGGACTTTTCAATCGCAGATCAAGATCGGAGGCGTTTTTTTTCCATAAAGCTGCGACCACGGATCACACAGAGCAGTCATAGCTTTTATATGGAAAATAATTTGACCAAGTTTTGATCCACAGCGCGATAAAACTAGCAATTAACAAACCAAATGTTCCTTTCTCACAAAAAAGTTCTTAACCTTACAATGTTATTTTGTTAAATCTATCACTAAAATATTTCATATACAGGTATGCATTTAGTATCAAATAATTTAACTATTCATTCATCAATAAAGTCATGATTTACCAGCACAAATGATTGTTATTATCAAACACTAATAAAAGGGCATTGGCAATGACCGAGTCTCAGATTGATTTTTCCCATGGTACACACCTTCTGATATATATTGCTATAACTACGGCGATGACAAGGATAGCAAGTACCCCTGCTATAGGCCCGGCTATCGACCCTGCGTTAGTCGATGGCGTAGGATTATCCGACACTTCGGCTTGCTCTGGACAAATGTATAGGCATTTATATACAGTAATTCAATAACATGATCTGAATAAGAAAAGTACGAAGACTTAAGCTTTGCAATGTAAGAAAAAGCAACCTTGAGCAAATTTATCAAATCGAAAGTGAAGATAATAGTCGTATTTACTGTGTATATCCAACAAAATGAACTATGGGAAGATTATTTTTTTCGGTGGTTCATAAAAAAGTAATTACTTGTTTCACAGTAAATTCCTTCGTATCCAGGATCACAAGTCACACACACACCAGAGTTTTGTTCACAAATGCTGCAGTGACCACATGACATGTTACAATTCATTCCGTACAAACCCGTCATGCATTCTATTGAAAACAAAACAAGCCAAGGATCAAATAATCTATTAGATGAAAGATCAATATTAATGCAGTATTTCACATCATTCTTCATTTTAACGGACATTAAGTTTTATATTTGTCGATAACATATAAATGACATTCATCATATTTCGTTCAATTGTGTTACCAGTTGACTTACTCGTGCATACTCCGCTTTCCTGTTCACATTCGGAACAATTGCTGCTACAATTTTCCATACAGTACGTCCCGAAAAATCCTCCTATGCAGCCTGCACATATATAGATATTTACATAATTTAAACGAGTATATCGATTTTAACATGTCTATGCAAACACATTTGATATACGGTTCATTAACGCGTTTGTGTGATTCCATATGGGCAAATCTTGCATGTATTTGTTAAATATGAGGTTTATCTATAACAACATATTATTTGTTGTACATGACATGCCTGATTATAATATATCAAGTGAACATTTCGCTCTGAGTGGATACCATTGTTTTTTTCCTTTATTGCCATAGAAAAAAATGTTAATGTGTGTGATTCATTGTGTAAGATAAACGGGAATCTTGTACAATGTAGTGTCCAATTCTTAAGCTCAACTTTTGAATCAGGCTCTATTTTGAAATAAATGAGACAGTTTTAAAGGAAAACAAAACTTGCCGAACTCATTAAAGTTTATAATCATTTTATCATCGTTTTGATCTATATATCATTTGTTTACGTCAATGCTTAAACTGTCGTTAATTTCATGGAAATTGGACAAACATATACATCCTGAAAATGTGATGCTCTTTGTACATTTATGTCAGTGTTGACTTATTATTTTGAGCTTATTTGCAATTTTATTGGGAAAGAAAATGTCTATGTACATGTATCTATGTCATTATTTCAAACTAAGTGTTTTTGATACTTAACGATTTTCTCATTACCAAATCATCGCGATGAAAAAATGCAACCCGAGGAACATACATACGTAAGTTTCACTTATTATTACCAAGGTGTGCAAACTCTGGTCATTAAAATCGCTAAAACAAACTATCAATTAAACATAAAAAACAAATCACAGCTCGTGAAGGTGAGAATAGTACTTCTGGTGTTGTCATTTAATGGTATATAATTATATATAAACACATATCCTGTGGATAATATCTTGGTAACGCTGTACATCTATTTTATTTTATGATTCCGACGTTTTCTTACCTTTGTATTTTCATTATGATAATTTATTGTATATATCATAATAATGATACACAGGATACGGGTTCATAATGTGAACGTTAGTAGGGAGGAAGTTGCGAAATACACGTGAGCAAGCGAAGCGGTGGAATTGTCGTTTGAGCGTGTTTGTGTTGAAATGCCCCAAATACAGTTTGTGTTTTGCATTTGTTGCATATCAATGTACATGTATATAAAGTGCGTACCGATAAGTACAATTCTATCTGAGAATATAATACACATTTTGTTTAGTCTTGACTCCTTTTTTGGGCAAGACGGTCATTTATACAGTCCTTTGCGGGCGAAGTAGTTAGTGAACGCAGTCCTGTGCGGGCAGGTCTACTGCCGTATGCGTTCCTGTGTGGACAACTGTATGAATTATTATATATGTTGACAACCATGTAACTCCTGGTGTCCTGTGTGGACAGATGGTCTGTTGACTGTTGATGGATGTCCTATGAGGGCAAGCGGTTTCATAGATGACTTATACTGTTTGTGTCTGAGCAGATCACCATATTTCTGTATCGTGGAGTATTGCGACTGGAGCAGCCATCGTCAATGGGAAGGATTTAGAGAACATTTGTGAACATTTCTGTGCTGGGCGTTATGTGAATGACTACTGAGTTACTTTGTGGATATCAGTACGCTATTTGCGGTGATAGGCAATTAACATAGGATATTGTAAATAATGATAAAATAATTTTAAGAGTGTGCTTGGTTATGGGAGTGGTATTCTGAGTGATATGTATCTGGGAGATGTGTTAATATATATATACGGGTATACATAGTGTAATAAAGCCTTGTAAATATTGCATATTTGGTGTTTGTGCCATTCTTATATCAGTAGTGCTAGATCCAGGTTACATGTGTACATAATATAGATTTCTTAAAATGATGAAGGTCCGTTTCCATTACAGTAACCATTTTCTGTTTATGTCATTGAGATAAAAAAATATTAGTAATCCTTTAAATCACCTTGTAGTGAATCTTAAATCGCCATCCAAAGTAATTGTATTTGTAATACAAATATGGATGTGTTCAGTAATTCCAGAATATGCTCTTTGTTAAATGGATATTCGTGGTATGATCGTTTAAAACATAGGTTTGATGTCTCCGTTGGAGAACAGAACAAGCTTACGCTTACACTAAAAAAAGAGAAGAAATCATAAAATAGATAGATGAAACTTTAAGGGTTTACCTGCCGTACTTATGATTTGATTGGAGGAAGATTTCTTGAGGCGACGCCACGAAAGCTACAAATTTGTGACGTAATAATTCAAATACAATGTAAAAATGTACAATAAACATGCACAGATTTTATATATGAAAGTGAATAAAACTGTTTAAAAGGTAGATTAAGATACAGCTTCTTTAATGGTAAAGGCCATATAGGAAACTGAATTCCCGAACCATTGTCATTTGATATGGATTCGAATAAGTAACAACAGAGTCGTAAACTGTTGTTTCGTCCCCCTAAGTCTCGACTGATGTTAAGAGCTTAAATATCAGGCAACTGAGGAAAATCCAGTGATCGAAAGAATAGTCAAAATCCAGACTGGGGTGTGTAACAACCCAATAATTAAATAAATTTGATAATTTTTATATATCTGAAAATTAAAAAAAAAAAAAAAAAACCAAAAAAACAAGTACATGTGCATGTTTAAACAGTGTTACTATGAATTGAATGAAAACAATAATTAAATGTATGGGTTACTTTAATGTAATTGATGCTAACCTGCGCTTACAGAAGATCATGTCCTGTTATTCATGTACGTTTCGAAAACTCTCTGTGTAAAATTTTGTTTTGTTCACAATTAACCATCCAGTTCTATTTGAAGAGTTCGAGGTAAGATGTTCTTATCCTGTCAAAGAGCTATTACGCTTTTTTAAACGACGAAGCTTTATTCAGCGAATCAACAAAAAGAAATTTAACTTACCACTACAATTGCCTGTATCCTGCTCACATGTATCTTGACAATTCACAGGACAGTCATCTTCACATGTAGTACCACGTTTTCCAGAAATGCATTCTGATAATATGAAATACATTCCATGAACTATTTCCTATTCAATTTAGTAACCTAGATAGAGTAACAACGTTCCTTTAATCACTACCTTGTATTACAATTAACTAAACAAATTTGTCAAAATTTATTCTCATATTTTCAAGAAGACTTCAAAAAGTGCAATCGCATCAGATTAATGAAGAATCTAATATCTGAAACATGTAGAGTAAATTAAATGTTTTTATAGATGTTATATATTTTCTGATAAAGATGTGAGGTCTTTTTTTTCTTCATTTTATTGTTTCTTTGATTGAGTGGTGTTTACTGAGATATTGAAAATATGTATGTATACGAACGAAGGATGTCCGTTTCCATAAGACATAATATTGATGATTCAGACAGACTGGAAAACACCGGAGGAAATACTGACATGTGTTTAAAGTGAACAAGACCAGGTATTCCGGAAGAGGAAGCGACCCCTGCTTAATCGACGCTATTCGCCATGCAAGTTTTGGTCCGTTCAAATAAGGAGTGTTCCAAAATGAAAACAAGGAACATATATAGAAACGGAACAACCAGACATAATAACTAACTCCAGACATTTCTTACTTAATATCGGAAAAGGGAACAAATATTCTCAGTTCACGAAATCAACAAATTAAATATATAGTTTACCATTACAATTTCCCCTATCCTGTCCACAGGTATCCTTACAATTCACAGGACAGTCATCTTCACATTTAGTGCCATGTTTTCCGGAAACGCATTCTGAAAATACAAAATACTGACATTAGTGCATAAGCTTAACTCAAACTCATCTTCGAATAACCTAGGGTTAAATATGCACAAAACAGATTTGCATGGAGATTCATGAGTTCAAAGTGAACAAGACCAGATATTGGGGAATTCTGAAAATACAAAATACTGACATTAGTGCATAAGCTTAACTCAAACTCATCTTCGAATAACCTAGGGTTAAATGTGCACGAAACAGATTTGCATGGAGATTCATGAGTTCAAAGTGAAGAAGACCAGATATTGGGGAAGGGGTAGCACCTATTGCTCAATCGACGATACTCGCCATGTAAATTTTTGTTAATCCAATAATGATGTGTCACGTTCTCAAATGAGAATAAAACAAATTAATAACGGAATCACTAAACAAACTAACACCAGACATGTCTTACTTGATATCGGAAAAGGGAACAAATATTTTCCAATGAGTTTATTAAAACGATCGTAATCATTATCTCTCTGAACCTGGTGTTGTCAGTTGACGAAATATATCTATTTGATATTAAGTTAAAAATTAATTTCATGGTTGAAATACCAATAATGCATCAGCTTCGCTTTGTTGTTAAAACATGCTTACTTTTATCCAGATCAATTTGATAAAGCAAGGCTTATTTCCGCTTCCGCAACGTCCTGCTTTATTCTGCTGTGGTTTCCATCGATTCCGAGTTTGAAATAAGGTTTCATTGTTTAATGCCATATCAAACATATGTACATTAAATAAACCCAAATATTCTCAGTTCAGGAAATCCACAAATAAAATTAATAATTTACCATTACAATTCCCCGTATCCTGTTCACATGTATCCGTACAATTCACAGGGCAGTCATCTTCACATGTAGTACCATGTTTTCTGGAAACGCATTCTGAAAATACAAAATACTGATATGAGTGCATGAGTTTAACTCAAACTCATATTCGAATAACCTATGGTTAAATATGCACGAAACAGATTTGCATGGAGATTCATGAGTTCAAAGTGAACAAGACCAGATATTGGAAAAAGGGAAGCGCCTACTGCTCAATCGACGATACTTGCCATGTAAATTTTTGTTAATCTAATAATGATGTGTCACGTTCTCAAATGAGAATAAAACAAATTAATGACGGAATCACCAAACAAACTAACATCAGACATGTCTTACTTAATATCGGAAAAGGAAACAAATATTTTCCAATGAGTTTATTAAAACGATCGTAATCATTATCTCTCTGAGCCTGGTGTTGTCAGTTGCCGAAATATATCTATTTAATATTAAGTTCAAAACGAATTTGATTCTGTTGAATGTTAGAAATACCAATAATGCATCAACTTCGCTTTGTTGTTAAAACATGCATACTTTTATCCAGATTAATTTATATAGTAGTTCAGGAAATAAACAAATTAAACATATAGTTTACCATTACAATTCCCTGTATCCTGTCCACAGGTATCCTTACAATTCACAGGACAGTCATCTTCACATGTGGTACCATGTTTTCTGGAAACGCATCCTGAAAATACAAAATACTGACATGAGTGCATAAGCTTAACACAAACTCATATTTGAATAATCCAGGGTTAAAGATTCATGAGTTAAGAGTATCCTTACAATTCACAGGACAGTCCTCTTTATATATATTATTATGCTTACCGGAAATGCATCCTGAAAATGCAAAATACATTCAACCAAAGCTGTTTTCGGCATTTCAGTAATGCTAGAAAAGAAGAACGATATTCTTATGCCTGTTTATAGTTGAAAATCAAGCAAAATAGCTATATATCATTCCAAATTTGTGTGGGAAGAAGCTCATCTCTTCGATAATGCAAGTGGAAGACACTACTGAAAGACTTTTCGTTCCCGAGTACTTGACCTCCTTCTGCTCTATGTGAAATAGTTATGCGCCTAGTTCTATTTTTAGATTTTGACTTTCTTTCGACCAATTTTGATTTTCCTCAGTCACCATGTTTTTCCAAATCAAGGCATTAAGAATCACTGAGGAGTTCTAAAACTGCGAAAGAGCTGTATTATAGAGTTTATTGTATAATTTGACTTACATGTATGTCATTCTACATTTGTTTTGAAAGATGCTATAATCTTTGTTTCTTTTGATTTATAGTAATAATAAGTATGATATCAAATGAAATTGCTCTTTTCATCGACAAATGCATTTCCGTCAGAACAAATAACTGATTGCTTTGCAAATTTTAGAGTTATGATAAGAAAATTGAACTAACAAATCGCATTTTATAAGTTTTGAAAGCAATGCTTTCTGAATTTTGATATAGGTGTGGCGACTTGAAATCAACTGAGGAGGATCAAACACGTCAAGCTTCAATATATCATAAAAAGAAAAAAAAGATTTCTCAATAAGATCGCTATGGTGACCATAAAGCTTCCCCGTAATTAATTTCACCAACCTTCATATTCTAAACCCTGTGCTACGAGTTTTTAAGTTAGCTGACGACTTCTTCCGCAAAAAATGTGATAATGGAAACAAGCCCTTGAATATCCAATCAATAACGACATGTATGTTGGAAATATTGCGATCAAGATATGAAAAAAAATTATCATACAGTTGGTGGACAGCTGTCAAAGTTGGTTTCGTTGAAGGAAAAGATCGAGATAAGTAGCCGATTAGTCACAGCATTAGCTGCGAAGAGAAAAGTTGCAAAATGGTACTGAAGTAATTCGAGCAATAGGGTAAGAAGTGAGCACGGCCGAGAGAAGATGTGGAAACATTAAAAAAAATTGCCATAGGATGAAGAAGCATGCCGTGATAGAGAGAATGAAAGTAGATCAGCAAAAGAGGGTTTTTTCACACGAGTAAAATCATGAAAGTGAAATGTCAAAGATTTTAGATATGTATACTGAATAAAGTTCAAACTGTTATATTCTTTATCAAATTCCGAGTTGCAGCAAACTTATTTTTACAGTCTTTATCATTGCTTTCGATTAATCTCTATATATGTATAATGTATGTCAATTACATACGAAAACAAAACCCAGTGTCCTTCTCACAAATAGAGTCTCCACAGTTCACGGGACAAATATTGTTGCAGTTAATGCCATAATTCCCCGGAAAGCAATCTGGAAAGAGAATGAAATGTACCATGAACACAGCATGCAAGCGAAAGGTGTTTTATTTGGTAATACTATATATGTTGTACTGTTAATGAGCACTATATGAAGCCATATCAAATTAAAGTGAATGTACAGTTCGAATTCGTACTGCTTGATTTCTGTACATATTACCAAACATATATAATAAATGAATAATTAGATAATTAGGTAATAACGTAACTACAGATCATCAAAATTAAAAACTTCAAACTAACGAAAAATGTCATCCGACAGTTTTAGATTTGATCCAAATAGCATATCATACTTGTTGCGTTGATTAAGGTAAAAACTTGGAATATTTTCTGTTGCGGAGAAAGTGATCGTGTCATTCTAGGGCTTATATCTTGAAGTAGAAAACCATTTAATGAAGACTGGATTGTCATGTCATTCATAATGGTGATTAGGGCTGTTAACAGATGCATCGAATTTGTGGGCATTTTTTTTCATATTCAAGTAAACGAATTTGGTCTTGTATATAGCAGTCCCGAAATTGAGCGCAATACGGAAGCGAGAAAAATATATCCTTTTTGTTATTAATAAATAAAAAAATATCTACAGCTGAGCAAAATGTCATGATTATTTTCAAACACAGAAATTATATGATGTTTTGTGTCTTTTATACAATCTACGAAAATACAGCTGCGAGACAATGCTTGTGGTATACTCGTCTCCGAGGTTTATCGTAACATGTATTCTATTCCTTCTAATAATGGCACAATTCAGAATATACCTGTGTACTTGACGTTCTTTTAAAATGAACAGATATATCAAATTTATCAAATTTACTGAATAATGGGGCTATGACACCTCTAGGTTTTGGTCCTTATTTCAATCACTTCGGATGTTCTTGTGTCATCTCATAGATTAAACATTTAGCCTCTTAGCTTCACTGACGAGTCCTAGAAGGACAATTGAATGATAGAAAGTTTAGCTCATGCTTTGACTGTACTATATCTCTTCTAAATTTGTATTAAACAGCGGCATTCATCTGTGTATCTTTTATACAATCTAATCAAATAGAATAGAGAAGCTTTTATACAGTCCAGTATAAAAACGGGAACAGTTTTCTTAGATAGACGTCGCATGAGCAAAATAGTATACTTTTAACCACACGTAAAGATCTTTGAACAACATAAAAAGTAAAATATCGGATACAAAACAAAGCACAATAGATGAAATATAGAACGCCAATCAATCGAAGAAAATGAATAGCCAAACCCACAAAAAAGTCATAGATTGAGCAATTCAGGAGCTCATGTAGAGGTTAAGAATTTAATGGAATGGAAAATACAATAAAATGCGTTATCTTTTAATTTAGTTTTTTAATTTTAGTACTCACACAAACAAGATCCGGTCGTAGAATTACAGTTGCCGCCATAACAATTATCTGGACATAGATTCTCACAGTCTCCATCACCGTACCTCCCTACCTGACAGCCTGTTTCAGGATAAAACAAAACGTGTCGGTGTTTTATCAGTTTTAGCGATGTTTGTCATTCAGAAAACCGCAGTCAATGATGTCCCTTTTCATTAAAAAATAATTCTAAGCCGACAGAAATAAAGAGGTTACATAATAAGTGTTGTTTGTATATGGTATGAGTTTCATCAGAGTGTTGTTATTTTCCAATAAAATCACACAAAAGGGGATGCCAGCTTTAGCGATATGTAAGTACATACCATAAACTGTATTCACGGTTTGGTCTGACTTGTGTCTACCACAATAAAAGAGCTATTGCGATGAATACAATGGATATCAGTAGGGGCGTAATGGTATGAGCTGTATGGAAATAAAACTGATAAATATGTAAAACTGACAACCTCATAGATGTTTGGAAAATGTATTTCAAATTAAATAACTGTTAAAATGGTTAATCTTCTACAAACCAATAAATTGTTTAAAATCGTTTCGTGTGTTTTAATTTCTGTGAGTACATGAAATGCTAGTTCGTCAACTTGTGTCAGCCAGCCAGCCAGCCAAACGTGTTTAATCCATATGTGGTTATTTGTTTTGTTTACACCTTACTTGCAATGATAAATTCGTGTCTTGAATGCTAAATTACTTCCACATGATATTGTACAAACCTTCAAACACCATTGATTAAATTTTTTTCGGTTCTGTTCAATCGATCTCAGTCCGGAAGAACTTGGAGAAGTTATAACGGACATTTTATATATAGGTAATCTAGTCCTCGTATTCCGGCTAGATTATGATGTCGAAGACATTTCAATACACGTTTTCAACTTTTAGTTTTACGCTCAAACATGTTTGAAATCATATTTAAACAGATATGACTGAAAGTTTGTTTCACCTCAGACCAATGCAATTTTATCAATATTCAGGCAAGAAAAGACCTCCCTGACTTAATTCTCAAGTACGTAGAAATGTTCGATATTCTGATAATACAACATCTATACACTCTAGACATCAACAACTACACTTTTAGTGTAACGTTCATCCATATATGATGTTTTAAACGTGTAAATTCACTCCTATTTTAGTGTAAAATTTATGGTTACACCATTTCTGATGTAAAGTTAATCACAACAAAGAAAAGTGTATAGTATACCGACATTTGTGTTACTTCAATCCTAAATCGGTGTAAATGCGTTATCTAACACCGAAAGGGGATGACTTTACACCAGATTTTCACCTAAAAGTGTTACTTTACATCTTAAAAGAGTGACTTTACACCAGGTTATCAATTAAAGGGGTTACTTTACACCTTAAAAGAGTGACTTTACACCAGGTTATCACCTAAAAGTGTTACTTTACACCGTTAGAGAGTGTAACTTTACACCAGAATCTCAACAACAAGTAACAAGTGTTACCCTTACATTGTGACGGAATTAATTTTACACCAAATCGATACCTTTAATGTTACCTAACACCGCATGGTTGCGGCATTACACTAAACTTTCACTTAAAAGTGTTACTTTATACAGTAAGGGAATGACATTTACACCAAATCAGTACTGAAACCTGTCACCTAACACCGTGTGGAGCGACGTTACACCAGATCGTCACCGAGAAGTGTTATCTTACACCGCACGGAGCGACGTTACACCAAATCGTCACCAATTGACATTACTGTTATCATAACCAGAGTTTAAGCACCGACATGTTAAGTGTATTGTTGGCAAAGCAAGGGCAATCAGTATAATTCCAAAAGGAAAGAGGTATTGTATATCGATTAAAAAATTTAGGTTCCAGATTCCCCATAAGCAAAACTTATATGTTTAATGGAAATTTGGTTGGCACTACCAAAATTGAGACTTCCTTGGTTCCTAATCAAGCTACACTGCATGTACATTCATTAATGCATAATTTGAAGTATGGTAAACTTTATGTAGTACTGCTTTCCCTTATTTTTAGCATTTATTGAATAGTGTACATGCATGATTTTGATTGCCCTGCTTTAATGATGCTTAATTGTTTGTCAATGTTCCTATGAATGTATACTTAGTTTTCTACCATTTAAATTTCATAATTTGACACCTTCACCACGAAATTAGGAGAATTAGAATCAAGGGTGACCTATTTTCAGGATTATCTTTTCAGAACTGTAACTTTTCAACTGTTAAGTGGAAGATGTTCGTTTTTGTTCTTACAAGAAAACTCTTGGTTTGAATAATGCTGTGCATTTTAAGAACCCACGAGAATCTGAAAACACGACATGACTTGATATAAGTGGTATTCAGGAGCTTTTAAATATCATGTGTTGAAATTATCCAACAAAGTGGCTGCCCAGACTCCTTTCATTCTCCACATTTTTACTTTAAAATGTGTCTCATTGCTTTACATGTACATGAAAAATATACCTGGTACCTTATGTAATTACTGAACATTGTAAAAAGATTGGTTACCTAATGTTTTGCACCCTAGAAATAAAAACCAGAGGGATTTGAGACAGATGACTTATTACAATTTTGTTGTGTTTAGATGGAAGAGGTTTTAATATATTGTGTAGTTGGTAATATTCACAGAGGATTTAATTTCGTTCTCTTTGCGGCTGTTGAAGGTAGCACGTAATTAAATACCCCTTAAACTTTTTCATACTTATCATTTGCCTGAATACTGTGGTACTCATTCATACAGAAGCGCAAAAAAAAAAAAAAAAAAATACCACCGTAAACGTGTATACTCAAAACAGAGATGACCTGAAATAAAAATAATTGATAAAGCATGAAGTTTACACTGGTAATAAATAAAAGTTACCCTAGTTGGAATTTAAGTAACACTGATAAAGGATAAAGGTAACACCGGTAAAGGATGAAGGTAATACTGATAAAGGATGAAGGTAATATTGATAAAGGATGAAGGTAACACTGATCAAGGATGAAGGTCATATTGATAAAGGATGAAGGTAACACTGATCAAGGATGAAGGTAATATTGATAAAGGATGAATGTAATACTGATAAAGGATGAAGGTAATATTGATAAAGGATGAAGGTAACACTGATAAAGGATGAAGGTAATATTGATAAAGGATGAAGGTAACACTGATAAAGGATGAAGGTAATATTGATAAAGGATGAAGGTAACACTGATCAAGGATGAAGGTAATATTGATAAATGATGAAGGTAACACTGATAAAGGATGAATGTAATATTGATAAAGGATGAAGGTAACACTGATAAAGGATGAAGGTAACACCGGTAAAGGATGAAGGTAACACTGATAAAGGATAAAGGTAATACTGATAAAGGATGAAGGTAATACTGATAAAGGATTTAGGTAATATTGATAAAGGATGAATGTAATACTGATCAAGGATGAAGGTAACACTGATAAAGGATGAAGGTAATATTGATAAATGATGAAGGTAACACTGATAAAGGATGAAGGTAATACTGATAAAGGAGAACGGTAATATTGATAAAGGATGAAGGCAATACTGATAAAGGATGAAGGTAATACTGATAAAGGAGGAAGGTAACACTGATAAAGGATGAAGGTAATATTGATAAAGGATGAAGGTAACACCGGTAAAGGATAAAGGTAATACTGATAAAGGATGAAGGTAATACTGATAAAGGATTTAGGTAATATTGATAAAGGATGAATGTAATACTGATAAAGGATTTAGGTAATATTGATAAAGGATGAAGGTAATATTGATAAAGGATGAAGGTAATACTGATCAAGGATGAAGGTAACACTGATAAAGGATGAAGGTAATACCGGTAAAGGATGAAGGTAATACTGATAAAGGATGAAGGTAACACTGATAAAGGATGAAGGTAACACTGATAAAGGTGAAGGTAATATGATAAAGGATGAAGGTAATACCTGATAAAGGATGAAGGTAACACTGATAAAGGATGAAGGTAACACTGATAAAGGATAAAGGTAATACTGATAAAGGATGAAGGTAACACCAGTAAAGGATGAAGGTAACACCGGTAAAGGATGAAGGTAATACTGATAAAGGATGAAGGTAACACTGATAAAGGATGAAGGTAACACTGATAAAGCACTGATAAAGGATTAACACTGATAAAGGATGAAGGTAACACTGATAAAGGGAAGGTAATACTGATAAAGGATGAAGGTAATACCGATAAAGGATGAAGGTAACACCTGTAAAGGATGAAGGTAACACCGGTAAAGGATGAATGTAATACTGATAAAGGATGAAGGTAATATTGATAAAGGATGAAGGTAACACCGGTAAAGGATTAAGGTAATACTGATAAAGGATGAAGGTAATACTGATAAAGGATGAAGGTAACACCAGTAAAGGATGAAGGTAACACCGGTAAAGGAGGAAGGTAATACTGATAAAGGAGGAAGGTAATACTCATAAAGGATGAAGGTAATACCGATAAAGGATGAAGGTAACACCAGTAAAGGATGAAGGTAAGACCGGTAAAGGAAGAACGTAATACTGATAAAGGATGAAATAAGGATGAAGGTAATACCATAAAGGATACCTGAATAAAGGAAAGGATAAGTAATACTGATAAAGGATGAAGGTAATATGATAAAGGATGAAGGTAATATAAAGGTAAAGGATGAAGGTAATACTGATAAAGGAAATTGAGGTACTGATAAAGGATGAAGGTAATATTGATAAAGGACCAGTAAAGGATGAAGGTAACACTGATAAAGGATGAAAGTAACACTGATAAAGGATGAAGGTAACACCAGTGAAGGATGAAGGTAACACTGATAAAGGATGAAGGTAACACTGATAAAGGATGAAGGTTACACTGATAAAGGATGAAGGTAACACCTTGATAAAGGATGAAGGTAACACCGGTAAAGGATTAAGGTAATACTGATAAAGGATGAAGGTAATACTGATAAAGGATGAAGGTAACACCAGTAAAGGATGAAGGTAATATTGATAAAGGATGAAGGTAATACTGATAATTGATGAAGGTAATATTGATAAAGGATGGAGGTAACACTGATAAAGGATGAATGTAATATTGATAAAGGATGAAGGTAACACTGATCAAGGATGAAGGTAATATTGATAAAGGATGAAGGTAACACTGATAAAGGATGAAGGTAATATTGATAAATGATGAAGATAATACTGATAAAGGATTAAGGTAATATTGATAAAGGATGAAGGTAATACTGATAAAGGATGAAGGTAATACCGATAAAGGATGAAGGTAACACCAGTAAAGGATGAAGGTAACACCGGTAAAGGATGAACGTAATACTGATAAAGGATGAAGGTAATACTGATAAAGGATGAAGGTAATATTGATAAAGGATGAAGGTAATACTGATAAAGGAGGACGGTAATATTGATAAAGGATGAAGGCAATACTGATAAAGGATGAAGGTAATACCGATAAAGGATGAAGGTAACACCAGTAAAGGATGAAGGTAACACCGGTAAAGGATGAACGTAATACTGATAAAGGATGAAGGTAATACTGATAAAGGATGAAGGTAACACCAGGAAAGGATGAAGGTAACACCGGTAAAGGATGAAGGTAATACCGATAAAGGATGAAGGTAACACCAGTAAAGGATGAAAGTAAGACCGGTAAAGGATGAACGTAATACTGATAAAGGATGAAGGTAATACTGATAAAGGATGAAGGTAACACCAGTAAAGGATGAAGGTAACACCGGTAAAGGAGGAAGGTAATACTGATAAAGGAGGAAGGTAATACTGATAAAGGATGAAGTTTACACTGGTTATAAATAAAGGTTACCTTAGTTGGAGTTTAAGTAACACTGATAAAGGATGAAGGTAACACCGGTAAAGGATGAAGGTAATATTGATAAAGGATGAAGGTAACACCAGTAAAGGATGAAGGTAACACCGGTAAAGGATGAAGGTAATACTGATAAAGGAGGAAGGTAACACTGATAAAGGATGAAGGTAATATTGATAAAGGACGAAGGTAACACCAGTAAAGGATGAAGGTAAGACCGGTAAAGGATGAAGGTAACACTGATAAAGGATGAAGGTAATACTGATAAAGGATGAAGGTAACACCAGTAAAGGATGAAGGTAACACCGGTAAAGGAGGAAGGTAATACTGATAAAGGAGGAAGGTAATACTGATAAAGGATGAAGTTTACACTGGTTATAAATAAAGGTTACCTTAGTTGGAGTTTAAGTAACACTGATAAAGGATGAAGGTAACACCGGTAAAGGATGAATGTAATACTGATGAAGGATGAAGGTAACACTGATAAAGGATGAATGTAATACTGATCAAGGATGAAGGTAACACTGATAAAGGATGAAGGTAATACTGATAAAGGATGAAGGTAATACTGATACAGGTGAAGGTAACACCAGTAAAAGATGAAGGTAACACCGGTAAAGGAGGAAGGTAATACTGATAAAGGAGGAAGGTAATACTCATAAAGAATGAAGATCACACTGATAAAGGATGAAGGTAACACTGATAAAGGATGAAGGTAACACTGATAAAGGATAAAGGTAATACTGATATGAAGGTAACACCAGTAAAGGATGAAGATAACACCGGTAAAGGATGAAGGTAATACTGATAAAGGATGAAGGTAAGACCTTTAAAGGATGAAGGTAACACCTGTAAAGGATGAAGGTAATACTGATAAAGGAGGAAGGTAACACTGATAAAGGATGAAGGTAATACCGATAAAGGATGAAGGTAACACCAGTAAAGGATGAAGGTAACACTGATAAAGGATGAAGGTAACACTGATAAAGGATAAAGGTAATACTGATAAAGGATGAAGGTAACACCAGTAAAGGATGAAGGTAACACCGGTAAAGGAGGAAGGTAATACTGATAAAGGAAGGTAATAGATAAAGGTAATACTGATAAAGGATGAAGTTTACACTGGTTAAATGATGAAGGTTACCTGATAAAGGATGAAGGTGATAAAGGAGTTTAAGTAACACTGATAAAGGATGAAGGTAATACCGGTAAAGGATGAAGGTAATACTGATAAAGGATGAAGGTAACACTGATAAAGGATGAAGGTAATACCGGTAAAGGATGAAGGTAATACTGATAAAGGATGAAGGTAATACTGATCAAGGATGAAGGTAAAACCGGTAAAGGATGAAGGTAACACTGATAAAGGATGAAGGTAATACTGATAAAGGATGAAGGTAATACTGATAAAGGTGAAGGTAACACCAGTAAAAGATGAAGGTAACACCGGTAAAGGAGGAAAGTAATACTGATAAAGGAGGAAGGTAATACTCATAAAGAATGAAGATCACACTGATAAAGGATGAAGGTAACACTGATAAAGGATGAAGGTAACACTGATAAAGGATAAAGGTAATACTGATCAAGGATGAAGGTAACACTGATAAAGGATGAAGGAAACACCGATAAAGGAGGAAGGTAATACTGATAAAGGAGGAAGGTAATACTCATGATGAAGGTAACACTGATAAAGGATGAAGGAAACACCGATAAAGCACAAAAGCAACACTTGTACATAGAAGAAGGTGTAATATTCCCCAGAATTGTACAGTGTAAAGTGATTTATACAATAGCTGTAAACAGATACCTTACTTAAATAAAACTCAATCTGATATCTTATGGCTATGAAAACTAAAACGTGTTTCTATCAGGTAATTGATGTATTTAAGGGGATACTAAAAAACATGTGACTTTTTAGTGCCGCTTGGGTAAAAATATTTATCAAATGTGTCGAATCTTGCGATGGTGCTTCTTTTTTTAATGCATCATACTTTAAAGACGTAATATACAAATATCTTCAAATGATATTTGCATTGAAAATATGATCAAACCAATCAATCATCGTGCTTTGTGTCTTCTTGAGAGCGAACTGCGATTAATATCTACATAAGAGTCTCAACTTTACAAGTCGAATTTAGTCGTTGTTTGCACAGAAACAAGGAAGTAGAAGTTTGATGGTACAGTAATTTGATTTGACAGGTAAAAGGAAGCAGATGAAGGAAATATACATGAAGCAAAAATTGAATAAAATATGTTGATATGCATGTTCATCCTTTTAGATCAAGATCGAAAAACTGAGAAAATTTGACTAATCTTACACGTACCAGGCCTCGAAATTCCAATGGTTGCAATTGTTAAGAGCTGAGATCTCTACATGTGTCTACAGACCCACACATACACATGTATATTTATGTTATATAACATGATTTATATGTTTAATATATTTAACTTTGATAGATATTTCTAACATGCAGAAAACTTGTTTTCAGTAGATAATATTTAAGTCTTAGATGATTTATCCTAGATCTCCAGAGTAACCGAACAACATTTAATTACAACATTGTGTTTAATATTCTGACACATTTCAGTTGTTAGCATCATCCCGTTTTTAGAAAGCGACGTATTCTAGATTATGTCAAACGAGGTTATACTTACCAAACACCTGTACCTCGCATAACTCAAGAACAGCGTAATCAGAATACCATTCTTGCCGCTTACTGTTGTTTCGATAGTTGTAGACGGTGACATACTGGGCTACATACGGGCACTGATGTGTTACCACCAACTGTACTTCAGTTTCTTTCATACTCTTATCCTCGTAACAGAGGACACCTTGGGTCGGTGTGTCGGTGGTATTAGACAGGTAAAGATGATAACCCGCAAGTCTGATTTGAAAATTGGCTATAATAAAGATGAAAGTTTTATCATTTAATCCACGACTGAAATATATGCACATTTGTATGTTGTGTTTGTACTGTAGGTGTGATGACTTCAAAATCCAAAAAGTGGATAAGTACAAATGTTAACATTATTATAGTTCAGTAAATATATCCGGGTTTGGCAAGCACCCAATATTTGTATAGCTAACCAGCGAAACTACCTGCCATGTACAATACAAGTGCAAAATTACTTTGATATGTTTATTTTATTATTTAAAATAAGAATTAACGCCAGTTTCGACTTGCATTAATCATGTCGATAGAGTTCTTTAAGGAATTAATAACTGACAGTAAAGCACACATGTCCGTTCCTGCAAATAATTAAACCATGTTGATAAATTCCCTTGTATCTATCTTTGAGTTAATTGGCAAACAGAATTGGAGAAAAGATAAATCTAACCTGATGGAAGATAACTATATTCCTGTTATAGTTAACATTTTCACTAATAATAAATCAATACTTTAAACTGCATCTACAGCTACGTTCGAAGTACAGGCAAATAGTTGTATATCTATATTTTAAACTATATTTTATACCGGTCGTTCCCTGCTCGGTACTTATTGTGATTGTAAATGTTTTATTTGCTAGATAACAATTGAAGGGAACTGTGAGCCTTAAATAAACCAATTTTTGCTTGATAACTTGAACATAAATCGATTTCTTATTTTTACCATTTTTTCAATAATAATAAATGGATACGTTAACAGTTGAAAGCAGTATAGCTGCACCAATGATATAATTTTACTCGGTTCTTAATATAATATATGATATTTCAAGATAAAAACAATTGTGGCGTGTTAATTATTTAAGCGTTGTTATGAATCATGTTTTTATCCTTATTAGTGGTATGTTTGGTAAATACGTATCTCATTTCATTATACCATGTCGATGAACGTACCAGTAATGTTTGAATTAGTTTCTGGTAAACACAATATAGGGGAGGTAATTTGTCTATAGATGTCAGTTGCTCGTGTGATCGTTGTGTTCCCTGTATTATAAATCAAATATAGACATTTCTTAACAGAACGGATATAGCTTATGTAAGTTTTAGCCTGTTCATGGATACCTAGTTTTTTCAATTAAATCTTTGTAAAATGAAAATGTCTATGTTATTATCAGTATTGTATTTGGTGAATGTGTGGCCTGTTTTGGATTGGTAACGGAAACAATATGTCTTGTTAATATGTGTGTTGTTATGTCTGTGCATTAGCACTAACTTGTTCGAATATGTGTCTTGTTTAATCACACGTATGTTCTGGTCAGTAATGTGCTTAATAAAATATTTGACTTTTCTTGTCTTTGAAACTGTCTGGTGATTATTTTTTCTCGTTTAATCATGTCTATTTCCGTTTCAGTAAAGTGTCCGATAAATATTTTTTATCTGAAAACGACTCTGTCCTTGACAGCTATGTGCTTAGTATATATGAAACTTGTGCATTCATATATATGCTGATTTCAGTAACATGTTTGGTAAACATGTATCGTGTTATTTGTTTGTCCTTCTCAGTAATGTGTTCTGGTCAATACATGTCTTGATTAATTATGTCTTTTTCCATGTCAGTAGTGTGACTGATTTATGTGTCTTGCTATGTCTTTGTATTTATCTATAAAGTATCTGCTACACTTATGTCATGTTTAACACTAACTCTGTTCTTGAGATGCACGTATTTATTGAATATGTGTCTTGTTTGATGATGTTTTATCATTATCAGTAATGTGTATGGTAAATGCGTGGCTTGTTTAAGCTTATGTATGTCCTGGTCAGTACTGCAACTGGTAAATATGTGTGTATTGAATCGTAAAGGCAACAAGGACAATATATGCAGCTATATAAGTATTTTAATCAACTGTAAGTGTTTTGAAACTTTGACGTAACTGTATATCTGATGTATATGTTTATAGTACAATTGTTGACTGATATACTCACCTCTGTAATAAATTTTGATTTTATCTACAGTCATTAACTCTCCAAGATCTACACGCCACCAGACTTCCTTGTGAGCTCTAGGTTTTGTATGTGTACAGCAGTTTGATTCAATATTTGTTTTCAAACAGTTATCCACAACTTTACTGGCTGTCCATGTATTGCCACTATCGGAACTTTGCGAAGCATTCTTGAATAAAGCGAGATTACCTGCAACATTTTACGATCGATATAATTTATACGATGAAACATGTATTCAGTGTCTTATATTATTTATCTTATTAGATGTTCCAAACATAGGAAACTTAAAGATCGCACAGTCAAGTACAACGTCTTTTGTGTGTACTTCAACAGTGCAAGTCCGTAAATAACTTTATACAACCTACTTTCAGATCTGCTGATGTGGAGGAAGTATTGTATCTTAAACAATTCAATAATGTCACACCTGCGATCAGGTAAGTCAACAGGAAAGAGCAAACACATTTATCACTTGGTAAGTTTCTACTCTCGGCGAAACCCTTGTCTGTTCTCCTACAGTTCCCTATTTCACTCCCTATGGAACGGGTGTCAATAAATCTGTTTATCATTACAAAAAGGTTAAAAAAATCCATTTATTTATTATTATTGATGCAAAGTAATAATTTCGTAATTCATATATCTAAATACATATATATCTAAAATACTTTTCTCTGTAGACATCAAATGTCAAAATGACATACAATAAACGTATCATATGGTAATTGTACAACATTTCTACACTATAATACGTTATGTTTAATTCTACACAGTACCCCCGAATATCAAGGAAACAAAGTTTTACCCATACAGCAGTAATCTAGCTAAATTATCAAATCTATCACCGAAGTAAATCAGTCAACTTGCTATAATCAGTCTGTAAACAACTTTAAATCACCTACTTTCAGATCTGCTGGTTTGGAGGAAGATGAATAGGATCAGAAACACATCCCTGGTAAACACAGTTCTTGTGACAGTCATTATTAACAAAATGGCGATTTAACAGCAATAAGGAAGTGTAAACGCTACTGCTAGACGTGAATGTACTGTTCATATACAGGCACATATGTTCATTGACAGAGAATTAAACCCCATGGCTATAAATAACGACGTCTTTGTCATCTTTACACTACCCATACTTTCATTACGCTTTGGTGTACATATTTGGTATTGACTATATATAGACACGAGGATATGTGTGCACTTAGCAAACAATCACTATTTCTGTGCCTCTAGTAATATATAATCTCTGTTTATTTTGTTTATATTTTCCGGTTATTCCTTTTAACACCATGCCAACTAAGGCTAGACAATAAAGCTCACGAGTTTGTTATGGTTTTCCTGGCTTACCATTACCTTACAAGACGTATCACGATCATTAAACTCCCTATTTCTAAATATCGGGCTTGCTGATTGTTCAGGTAATTGCATAAGGTTTTACAAATGTCTGACGATAATATCGTTTATTCCAAATAAATAAATTCGACTTCTGAGACATAAACATACATTTCAATGATGTTTATCTATAATATTGAAACTGCAAAAATATCGTTCAGCAGATTACCGCGGTGTTTTATTTTATCTTCATTACAAATACATTAAAAATTAAGCAAACTCACGAAAATGTGTTGTACAGAAGTTACACTATTGTATAATTGAATTCAACGTGTCCTGTTTCCGTCATGTTACTTTCCAGCTTGATGTAAACAAATAATAAGAAGCAAATACCAACAGATCAACGTAGTCATCATCCAATCTCAAATGCAATAAAACCCTTACTCAATCCAAGAGAGTAGTACCACATTCTCAAATGAGAACAAGGTATTCAACAACGGAACCAATGAGCAAACTAACGCGCTTCATATACGGCCAGCCTCATATTGCACAATGAAATAGAATATTTCTCACTGAAATCACTATGAAGACTGTAATCTGTGTTAAAAAAATTGTCATCATCAGTTGATGACTTCTAGCAGGACAAAAATCGTGCGTATGGTAACAGGATCTTGTATATTGAATCATCTAAGACGTGTAAAGACCAGAGGTTGGGGATGCAGGAATGTTGATATCCAGAAATAAAAGTAGGATTTAGCACCGCTGAATGTCCTGTCGATACGTTATAATCTTTGAAATCGTCTTCCTATGGAAAAAGTATTCCAAACCTCTCATGAAGATGACAGTGTAATTATCGAAACGTCACACATAATTTTTAATTGGATGTGATAATTACCAGTTTGAAACAAATGTGTCACAATCTCAAGCAAAATTAGCTTAAACAAGACATTTATCAGAAATACGAATCAGTTGCTCAGGAACAAATGTTGAGAATGCAAGTAGCCGCAGCATATGTACATGTTATAATGAGTTTTAATGGAAACCGGTTTTTAATACTGCTCCAAATATGTAATATGACATTCGTACAAGATAACAAAGATATTTCCTTTTTAAACGGGTTCCGTAAAATTGTTCCATGTCTCCTCCCGTGAATTTGATTGTAGTTTACTTGATCATTTTCCTTATTTTCCATCGATGAAGCATAAATAAAGAGCGCAGATTTACGTGCATAAATAGTTCAAAGTAAGTGAAATAGCAGTATAGCCTAGGAACACATCTCATTTTTAGATTGAATGGATATCGACTTAACAATATATGTTTTTAGAAGGCTGTATGTAGGTACATATACTTGAGCGTCAGTCTGTAAACAATCTTAAAGTACCTACTTTCAGACCTCCTGGAGGAAGAGGAACAGAATAAAAACGTCTCCGATAAACATAGCTATTGTAATAGCTATTATCAACATCTGGTCAAGCGTATGAATACAAATTCGGTGAGTCGTCCACCAAAACGTAATTCTGTTAGATATTCGATTGTAGTATTTACTTTCTGTGTTGCATTCGTCTATATATAATTACTTCGCCAAATTGTAGTGAATGAGACTTTATACTATAATATACACTGATTCAGTCGATGAAGGAATTCATCAATCTAGACATCTCCCTGGTGAACAAAGCTGGCCGCCGGTCACTTTCGGTAGCAATATACATTGTACTGACATATGCGCAGCTGTTTGACTCAAATAGGAAGCCTAGGAAGCATAATCTTTGGACCAAAAACGGGAACCCGTGACTTAAGTTACTAGTAAAATGAGTCGTTTTGGGAACAAAGTATTAAAACAATACTTAAAATGTCCCTTGCAAACAACTACATCACGTATGAATACACAGGAAGAGTAAACGTCTTGGTTTGTGTCTATTTTCAGGACCAGGTGAAAATAACTAGAATGAAAGTTCACTTCTATATATGCCTAAAACCACAGTTAATTTCACAGTTAATAATCTTGTAAATATACTATTTTGTCATCTATCAAATCTGAACGTAAAGTAACTCATAGTCTGCATTTAAGAAAGATATTTTCATTTGAACAACATTCTGAATTATTAGTCTAATTACACAGTACTTCCCACCACGCACAAACTTATGAAAAGAAATGTTATTACCATGGTATTTCACATCATTTATATGAAAAAAAGAAAAGAAAACTAAGTACAAGTCTGCCATAGAAAAGTTAGGGAAATAATTGATCAACTGACCTTCGTACAACAACCTGGAAGTTAAATGTTGATTCAGTATTTCAGTACATTGGTATGTAATAAGGGGTAAAGCAATTACAAAACATGGTCATATCAAATCAGTTTATGTCATTAAAGCGATTATAATGTTAAAAAATACTACGAGAAAACGATATAAAACGTTCTATTTTCCAATTGTATATTACAAAACTAAGACTTTCTGTTAATTATGAAAATTAAAAGTCAATGCGACCAGTTTGTATAGATATCTAAAAAATAAAGAATGTAAACGGTGCGGTTTTGATCTAATCCATACATTACCGCTTGTAACCCTGATGCTGCGCATGCGTATCAGCCTAAAAATAAGCAATATGGCGGATGCAAATACGAAAAGCGACGAGGACCTAAAATTACCTTACGGAAAGTGCAAGAAAGTGTAAGAGTAAGGAGTCAGACCAAAAAAGAGGACAGGCAAGAATTTATATTAGACAGGAGATCGATAGATGGCGAAAGAAGAATGAGGATATTGGACTGAATACGGATTCGGAATTTGCGAAGCTGCTGTTTGACTGGTTAGCTTAACGTCGGCCCTATACTTTATAATCCAATATCCAGTGTTTGACGCGTGAATATGTTATGAACAACATAACTAAAAGTGTTATCTGATAAATGTTGAATAAAAATAGTTGTGTTATTCGCTTGAATTTACTATCGACAACGTGTGTTGTTGACTGCAAGGTGGGTCCCAATTGGAGGTATTCGTTCTAACTGTAAAAATATGACCGTGCTGGTGTTATTGTGAGAATAACAACCATGGTGATAAACATAACCTTCATAATAAACACATAGACACATGTTGAATAGTAAACAATATATATTAATGTGTACAGACAAAGTATCAATTCTTGTGCATTTCTGCACAATGAGTTTTTTCTTTTCCTATTTTAATTACCCCCTTTGGGGCCCCACTAGTTTAGCGCCCGCGATTTACATAGATAATTCTCGCACGAGAAGCCAAAACAAAACGAATTACTAAGATTTATTATCAAAATGTATATATTATAACACTTTAGAATCATTTACTGCAAACAAGAATTAGCAGAAAGGCGCAAAAGGAAGTGTCATACATAAGACCTATGCGTTTGTTTACACTTTCCTCGTAATCCATTTTTTTCTTTGCAGCGGAAATAAATGACTTCTTCACGTGACAAGCCATGTGATCGACTAGGTTTTCTTTGTAATAAACCGAGCGTGGACATGTTTATAAACAATAGTCAAGATAAACAGTATTCCGACGCCGAAAATATGCACAAAAACAACAAATTTGACGTTATCTGATGCAAAGTTAAAAAACTCCGATTTTTGCATTCATGTTTTGAAATGTAAATATAATGGGCTTTGTGGAACGATCTACTGCTTATATGTAATGCGATCAAATGACAGTCTGTATTTTCTAAGTTTATTATACAAATATGCAACTGCTACAAATTGTTACATGGAATCTCACTCGGTTTGTAGCACAAGTTTTACTATTTTTCACTTTGACCCATTAAAGGTACTTGGGATTAGGGTATAATTGGATGTCAGAGAGGTTCTGTCATCAACTTCCTGGTCTAGTGAGTGTAAAATAATGATTTATTTTGCCATTTGATTAATTGAAAAACATATATTTTGTCTGGGGTCGATTTCAGACATATGTGAAAATAAGAAACTAAAAAAAAAAAAAAAAAAATGTTGACGGTAAAGAAGATGTTTAATTTTTTCCTCCTGGACATTATAGCAACACATGTAGATAAATATTGTTTTTCTTTTACTTTAAAACGCACGGAAAAGAAATGTTTTGAAAATGACTATTTTCTATGATTCTTTATATCGTGCTGTTTTCATCACACCACCATACGCGATATCTAAATTTGCTGACAGCATGTATAAAGCAGTCCATACCAACCCAGTACATCAAGCGACCATCATGAGAGTCTACATTAATACTTGGTCACTAAAGCTTGCCAGCGCATCGTATAATTGATACATTATGCGAAATATACTTGATACACAATTTTGGTATACCTTAAAGTAAATGAAAAAAGCTCTGTTTTTTCCTTGAATTTCGTTTATGTCTAGATCACATTATAAGATGATGCAGTAATACGCAATATAGTGATATTTTGACTCAATATTTTAAGAAAATCTTAATGATTGTCTCACGTCTAAGACAATTGCAGTAGCAAGTGTTTAGCTTTAATGTCTCGTGATAATGGGTGTGTTCTAGCAATTAATGAAGCAAGCGTTTAATGCTATAAACATCACCGTTGATGACGGATAATCATGAATGAGTATTGATACACAATGTTTTGTTAGTACAGTAGACATCATCCGTAAACATCGTTGTCATGACAGCCGTTCACGGTTACA